TAAAGCTGCGTGGGTAAAACTCTCAACTCTACCTAAGCATAAAGCAAGATTTTCACAGTAGTAGAGGGTACCAATTTAGTGTGACTTACAGTAGTGTTTTTACTTTTGCAGTAATATTTGGCCTTACAGTAGTATTTGATGTTACCGTAATTCGGTTTGCGGTAGTGTATATACTTTATAGTAATATATGACACTATTGTGAGGTTGGGAAATTTTTTTTGAAACTATTTCCAGAAAACTGTGGTTAAAGAAAAAGAGGTAACGCCGTCGACTTCGAAAATTTCTGGGCCGAAGAAGGCAAAAAAAGATATAATGTCTATGTTTGCTCAGAAATCAAAGGTAAGTGCAGTTTGTTTTTCGTACAGTTGCATAATTGTACTAGTTTGCAGTTGGTCCAGAAAAATCGTGGGTACAAGCCAGGTCGTCTTGTTTTTTTTTTGGAATCTCTGTTTTGAAGAGCAGAAATTTTCTGTGAGAAATATGTGGGTTATGAGATTTCAGGAGATCTTTAAAAATTTAAATGGCTCTGGAAGGAATGCAAATGCTCTTTTAATTAAGCCACTATTTACAGAGAATTGCTAGATTTTACCTTTTTTGGGTTGAGGATTAGAGACGGAAGGAAACGGGAAATTCTGACAGACGGCTCGAAGTAAAAACACATGCAGTTTTCGTCACTGATGCAGCTGGACAACTTCTTCATTTTTGTCTATTTTAGACCTTTCTCATCAAATATACACTTATGTAATTTCATTCAAGCGGATTCATTCACTGTATTAGTGCCTTTCTTGTTTTCTGTGAATAATGTGTCGCCAGCAAGAAAAGATAGGCTGGTTATGTGGCACGGATGACAGGTAATAGATGGACGAAGCGGATAATGAATGGTACCAGCGCACAGTCAAGCGAACACTGGGGAGGCTAAGAGTGAGGTAGAGAGACCCTATAGTACGCCTGTACGGTTCTGCGTGGACTCGGAGAGCGCAACAACGAATTGAATGCAGAAGTTGCCAGCATTGCATCGATGGCGTGAAAACGAGCGTCGATGACATACAGCTGCTCTAGTTATTCAAGTAATGTAAAGCAAAAATTAGGTGATGGAGACGGATAAAGTTAATGGCTAGAATTCAGGGTGAAAAAGGCGTCTTATAACTGGGAATTCTTAAAAAATCAAGGAAAAAATTCAGTTTGTATGTAGTAAATTTTTTGAGTTTGACTGGAGGAAAAACTCCGTATATTTTTGAGTTTGACTGGAAGCGGTAGAAATTATTTATACTTTAGAAAGATGTAAAGAAGAATGGCTCTCAAACAAAAGAAAGTATTGATCAAAAAGCAGAAAATGCAACAGCATCGGGTCAAACAATAAAGTACTGGAATTTTAGTTTCAAATTTTTACCGGTTTTTTATCGCATTTATAATTTTGTAACTCTGTTTATTGCACTGTTTGTCATGCTCGTTAGGTTTACTGCACTGATCTTATTGCATTTCTCTGGATGGAATTCGTTTTTGCGAAAATGCAGGAGAGAAACATATGCGGATCCAGGGCGATTTCCGAGAAGGGGAGCTGGAAGGGGGGGAGAAGGCGATTTTTCTTCTGCACTCCGTCCTTTCGTCCGTCACTAAATCGGAAGTTGCACTCTCCCCCTAGCCATAGCG